TATCAAATGATATATACCCCCTGTAGCCACATGACTAAGGGTATAAAAAACATTTTATACATATTCCAAAAAAATGGGAACAACCGTAGTGTAGTAAAAACTGTCGGATTTTTTTTTAATTTTTTTTTACAGAGGTATTTGTACCCTGATTCTGGGAAAATATTTTTTCTTTCGGGACGGACCCGAAATTTGCGACAAAATGCCGGTTATTTAAAAAGATTCAGGATGTCGTAGATATTATGTGACAACTTGTTGGATGGGTATTTTCATTAGTACCCTCCCTTTTGGGTCAAATATCCGGGAATCCGGGTCCGTCCCCAAGTAATAACTAATTTCTCGGAATCAAGCCACAAATATCTGCCTCTTGAAAAGATTTTAAAAAAATCCGAGAATTTTTACTTGACAGGGTTTGAGCCGAAAAATACTGAAAATTTTTTAAAAAATATTTTCGAATATTTTTACGAATATTTACAATTTTTTTTTCTGAATCAACTTGGCCCCCATTGTCGTTGTGAGGGTTTTAAAAAATTGTCTCAGCATTCCTTTGGATAATCATGATCACTGGCCAAATTTTTGCCGTTTTTTTTTGTAACGGGGCGCAAAAAAACTAAACCCGGAACTTCAGAAGGAATTTTTTGGTTAAATTGTCTCGTTGCAGGAAAAAAAGAGACGATTTTTTTTTGTAAAAATAATCCCGTGAGTGATTTGAAATCAATTAAAGCGCAAATAGATTTGCGACAGACGATCACATTGTTGGACACACACACACACACACACACACAAACGAACACACAGGAAAAACCAAACTCTCCTATGGGGTGACAACGGACCACTTACGCAGTCTAGCAAGCGGTGTGTGGGGATACGACCACAAATCACAGCCAGTCACATAGTCAGCCAGTCAGCCAATCATCCATCCAATCCCATCCAAAAAACCAGCCAGCCATCCACATCTCTCTCTTTTTCGCATCCCAAGTGAAAGGTTCATTGTCGCCTTGACTTTAAACGCGAAAAGATGTTCAAATCTCCAAGAAATTTTCGTGCGGCCAAAGTGAAATTTTGAAAACAAGCCACTCTATTGTGAATGATGTTCGGAATTCGACAATAGCTTGGAAAAGAAAATTACTTCTTCTTGTTTTATTTGAAAAAAAAAAATTCTTTTTGTCACAAAAAAAAAAAAAAAAATAATCGGAGACGGAGACCAGCTTTAGTTAGTGAAAGTGCCCCAAAGTACCCCTCCAAAACAAGAAGAAGAGCAAGAAGAAATAGAAACAAAAAGCCAAAGAAAGCAAACGAAAATAATTGCAAATAATAATAAAGAAATTATTGTCGGGTAATTTTCGTTAATGGCCTGCCATATCCGCGACGACAAAATTGAAGTTGCAAAACAACAGCTATTGTGGCGCGGAAATAAAAAAAATTAGAAATTTTTAATTTTTTTTTGTGAAATTGGGTGCCAATGGAAAATAGAGATTATATAAATCAAATCAAAGAAAGTGAAAATGTGAGAGAAAAATTAAGAAATTAAAAAAAATAATAAAAAATAATAGAGTTATGGCTAATTTTGAGGACTCCAAAGAACCCATTTTCGATGGAAAAGTAGGCAACAGAGTTCAGTGACGAAATTCGAATTTCGAGCAAAAATTTGGTAGTTCAAGGACGAAATACGAATTTCGAGCAAACATTTTTGGGAGTTCAAGGACAAATTTCGAATTTCGTGAGAAAAAAATTAAGAAATTAAATAAATAAAAAAATAATGGTATTATGGCTACTTCTGAGGATTCAAATTAACCCATTTCAATGGAAAAGTAGGCAACAGAGTTCAAGAGTTCAAGGACGAAATTCGAATTTTGAGCAAACATTTTGGGAATTCAAGGACAAAATTCAAATTTCGAGAAAAAATTTTGGGAGTTCAAGGACGAAATTCAAATTTCAAGAAAAAATTTGGGGAGTTCAAGAACGAAATTCCAATTTCGAGAAAATATGTGGGAATTCAGGGACGAAATTCGAATTTTGAGAAAATATGTGGGAATTCAAGGACGAAATTCAAATTTCGTGCAAAAATTTTGGGATTCTAAAAAATTATTTAAAAAAAAATTTATTTTAAAAAAAAAAATAAATAAATAAATAAAAAAAATAAAATTTTCAATTTTTCGGATAAATTTTTTTTGGTTAACTGGATGAGATAAGAACAAGTTAAAAAGCAGTAACGCTATATGGGGACTATGCGAAGACGTGGACCTGCATTGACAATTTTCTGTCACAGACTGTGGTTCCCATTTCGAACTTCAAATACCAAATTTGAAAGAATTACGGTGAATAATGTCGCTAAAATCAACAAAGAACCGAATATCCGGAGGTACCGTTATATGGCGGCTATGCGAAGACGTGGACCTGCATTGACAATTTTCTGTCACAGACTGTAGCATCCATTTCGAACTTCAAATACCAAATTTGAAACAATTCCTATGAATATTGTCGGAAAAATCATCAATATACGGAATATCGGGAGGTACCGTTATATGGGTGCTATACCAAAACATGGACCTACATGGCCCATTTTCAATACCAAAAGACATAATATATTTGAGAGTAAAATTTTATCAATCTACTTCATTTCATTCGGAAGCTAGAGTGTTTTCCATGAACGGACAGACGGACGGACATCGCTAAATCGACATAGAATTTTATGCTGATGAAGAATATATATACTTTGTGGGGTCTAAAATGTATTTTTCGAGGTGTTACAAATGGAATGAGAAACTTAATATACCCATACTATGGTGGTCCTTTAAAAAAACGTCCTTAAAATCTATGTCTTCTGAGTGCTTTAAATTTAAAATAAAATTTAAAATACTCAGGATTTTTGGCTTTGAAAAAAATTTTTTTTTTCAAAAATATTCAAAAAATTCTCCTAATGACTTCAATTTTTTTATAAGTTGATCGAACTGAAAAGCTTTTCACTGGCATATCCTTATATTAGTCCTTTATATAAGGAAACATTCTTAAAATTTTGAAAATCTAGTTGCCCTTACTTCTTTAAATCAAGCTATGAGTTATATAAAAAGTTCCACTTTTGTTACAAAAAAAGTGGGTGTATTCTCATTTTTTTTTAATAAATCAATAAAAAAATCAATTTTCAGTGAATTTATTAAAAATAATTTATTAATGAAAAAAAAAAAATAATTTTGCTTTAAATTAAACAACAAGAAAAACGTGCGATCTCTAACCTTTTGCAAAATAAAAAAATAAATTTAACAAAGAATCAAATTCATATTATACTATAAGTGACCATGGAGAAGAAATCTCTATGTCCATTGTATATTAAAAAATATTTGCCGCAATATTACCAAAAAAAAACGCGATAATATTTCTTCAATTTTAAAAATACATTGTATGGTTAAGTCCATATTTTAAGGTTTTACAAAATTCTTCTACAAAGAAATATTATAGAAGGATAATGCCAAGGACAAAAATATTCCTTATCAAATTTCACTATAAGTCACAAAAGAAATGAAATGTCTATTTCCATTCTATATCAGGAAAATTATTGTACCAATATTCCCAAAAAATCGCCAAAATACTTCCTAAATATAAAAACACACTTTATACCTAATGTGAGTTTATGCAAATTACTCCTACAAATAAACATTTTAGAAAGATGCTATCAAAGACAAAAATATTCTACATCAAATTTTACTACAAGTCACCAAGGAAAAGAAATCTCTACATCCATTGTATATCATGAAAATATGTCCATCAATGTTGCTAAAAACGCCAAAAATCCTAAATATTAAAAATACATTTTATGCCTACAAATAAACATTTTATTCTCCTACAAATAAACATTTTAGAATATTGCTGTCAAAGACAAAAATATTCTACATCAAATTTCACTACAAGTCACCAAAGAAAAGAAATCTCTATTTTCATTATATATCAAGAAAATATTTGTTTCAATGTTGCCAAAAAAGCGCGAAAATAAAAAAGCGAAAAAAAAAAACACATTTTATGCTTAATGCGAGTTTATGCAAAATTCTCCTACAAATAAACATTTTAGATGGATGATATCAAGGACAAAAATATTCCTCATCAAATTTCACTATAAATCACCAAAGAAAATAAATCTCTATTTCCAATATATATTAGGAAAATATGTGCCCCAATGTTGCCAAAAAAGCAAAAAGTATTTCCTAATTTTTTGATAAATTTTTCTCCGACCTTTTTCGAGTTGACGCCTGAAAGTAACATAAAATTGCATTTTAGTCAAAAAGAACTAAAGGAGGAAATATTTCACACAAAATTTCACTGTAAGACTCAGAACAAACTATTTGTCTAGGCTTAGTAGTTTTTCAGAAAATTACATATGAAATTTATATATTACAAGTGAAAGGTTATGTGTTTACGTTTTTTACTGCTTATTTAACTCTTTTACATTCTATATCAAAATCTCCTATAATTTAAATTTTTTTGGGGAATGTGTCAAAGGAAGAATTATTCCAGATCAAATTTCAGTATAGGCCTCTAAAGAAAAGAAATCTATATTTCCATTATATATCAAGAAAAAATTAGCATCAATATTATAAAAATTTCCACATGGGCCACCATTTGTTACAAAAAAAGTGGGTGTATTCTCATATTTTTTTTTAAATAAACTAATAAAAAACAATTAAATTTTAAGTGAATTTATTAAAAATAATTTATTAATGAAAAAAAAAAATCAATTTCGCCTTAAATTAAACAACATGAAAAACGTGCGGTCTCTAACCTTTTGCAAAACAAAAAAAAAAATAATTTTACAAAGAAAAAAAATTCATATTCACAACGACAAAAATTTACAATCTAACAGCTCAGAAATAACAAATACAACAACAACAACAACAATATCAATAAATAATAAATAATAAAAAATTGAATAAAGATACTAACAAGTTTTTCAAGAAACCTTAAGAGGCCAAGTCAAGTCAAGTCAAACCAAACTAAGCAACCAAAAAAAAAAAATAAATATAAAAAAATAAAAAAAAAATAAAAACAAATCGAAGCAATCCAATCAAATTCCTAGACATAAAAAATATTTGAATAAAAAATTCAAAAATATTTTTTAGTTGAAAATCTGTTGTTTTTTTGTTTCTTTTGAATCTGGCATAACGCATAGCGCCGCCGTTATGACCCGCTAGCTGCTGGAATTCCAAGTGAAGTGAAACAAGTTTTTTGAATGTTTTTGTGTTTTCATTTTTTTCTTCTTGGTGACATTTTTTTGCAGATTTTGTGTGTTTTTGAATGAATCCAAAAAGAGGCCTACAAAAATAACCACAAAAGTAATAATAACCTAAAAAACGGGTCTCAGACTCTCAGAAAAGCAAATGAAATAAAAAAAAAATCGAAAAAACAAATATCAACCTAAAACGTCAACAAAGATCAGCGATATCCCGCTAGCCAGCCAGACAGCCTACCAGTCGAAAAAAAAATACAATCAACAAAAAACCGACAACAAAACTGAAAAAGCCTATTCACCCCGCAACAAGGAAGTATTTATAAGGCAGAGAGCCTCAAAATCCTAAGCCTAACTTGCCAGCAGCCTGCCCACTCTCTCATCGTAGTCCGTCTCCCCCCTTCGCTCAAATAAGTCAAGATATCAGGCTGTTGTCTGCATAAAAGCCTTAACGAATGGCTGGCTGATTGTTGGGGAATTTACCAGCAGCCAGCATTGCCAAACACATCATAAAAAAATCAACAGCCAACATAGATTTCAATTGGAAAATCTCAGCTGGATTTAATTGAAAATCATAATTTTCCGGGCAGTTTTTTATTTTCGCAACATCAACACAGAGGAGAAAGGGTAAGTGGATTTTAGATTTTTTTTGATTTGCTAATTTTGGAAAATTTTGGAAAAATATAAAAAAAGACAAGTAAAAAAGCTATAAGTTTGGCCATGCCGAACTTTGAATACCCTCCACCATTTGGAACGAATTTCACAGTTTTCAAAAAAAAAAAAAAGAGAGCTTCAGGCGAACCACAAATCGTGGTTTTTTGGAAAATTGTTTTTTTGAGTCTCCGAAAAAAAATAGATTTTTAAAATAATTTGTCAAACTCTTAACAAAACGTAACTTTTTTAATTTGAATATTTTTTAAAACATCCAAAAAATGTTATTTTTTTTTTAAATATTTTGTGAAGCTTCAACAAGAACGCGGATTTATTAAAAAAAAATTATTTGAAGTCTTTCACGAAACGTGGGTAATTTTTGAAAAATATTTTTTGAAGTCTCCGTCAAAACTTGATTTTTTTTTCAAAAAACTTTTTCAAGCCCTTCACAAATCTTGGATTTTAAAATAGTATTTTTTTTTTGAAATGCTGCTTCAGACGAACCACCAACCACCAATGCCGAATATAATGGAATTATCGAAAATATTCTGGAGGGTGTATTAAGGCCTTGGGCACGCAAAACATTTTGGCCGCAGATCTTGGACATTCTTCAGACGAACCACAATTCGTGGGTTTTTTTTGGAAACTATTTTTTTTGAATCTCCGAATAAAATTGATTTTTAAAATATTTTTTTAAAACTCTTAACGTTTTGTTTGTCTTTTTTAATTTAAATATTTTTTAAAATATTCAAAAAATGCGGTAATTTTCGGTAATATTTATTGAAGTCTCCATCAAAATTTGTATTTTTTCCGGTGAATAATGACTCTAAAATCATCAAAATACCGAATATCGGGAGGTACCGTTATATGGGGGGTATACGAAAACGTGGACCTGCACAGACAATTTTCTGTCTTAGGCTGTGGTATCCATTGAGAACTTCAAATACCAAATTTGAAACAATTCCGATGAATAATGTCGCTAAAATCATCAAAATACCGAATATCTGGTGGTAGGGACTATACGAAGACGTAGGCTTATACAGACAGTTTTTAGGCATAGGCTGTAGTATCCGTTACGAAATACAAATACCAAATTTCAAACAAATCCGCTTAATAACGTCGCTACAATCATCAAAATACCGAATATCGGGAGGTACAGTTATATGGGGTCTATACGAAGACGTGGGCCTGCACAGACAATTTTCTGTCTTAGGCTGTAGTATCCATTGAGAACTTCAAATACCAAATTTACCAAAATACCAAATATCTGGTGGTAGGGGCTATACGAAGACGTGGACTTATACAGACAGTTTTTAGGCATAGGCTGTAGTACCCATTACAAACTTCAAATACCAAATTTGAAACAATTCCGGTAAATAATGTCGCTAAAATCATCAAAATACCGAATATCGGGAGGTACCGTTATATGAGGGCTATACGAAGACGTGGACCTGTACAGACAATTTTCCGTCATAAGCTGTAGTATCCATAGAGAACTTTAAATACCAAATTTGAAACAATTCCGGTGAATAATGTCGCTTAAATCCGAAAAATACCGAATATCGGAAGGTGCCTTTACATGGGTGATATACCAAAACGAGGACCACCATGGCCCATTTTCAATACCAAAAGTCCTGCAGACATAATATACATTTCAGTAAAATTTTATCAACCTACTTCATTTCGTTCGGAAGCTAGAGTGATTTCCCCAGACGGACGGACATCGCTAAATCGACATAGAATTTTATGCTGATCAAGAATATATACAGGGTGAGATGAAAAAACTGCAACCAACTTCAGACTGCTGTTATTTCTAATGCACTTGTCCGACAGCTGTTGAAATCTTTCCAGTGACAGCTCAAAAAGCAACCAAACTAACCAGAAGCATTTTGGTGAGAATATTCCAGAAAAAAAGTTATTCGTGTTCGGAATTCAAGCGTGATAGTATGATTTCTTTATATTTGGCTGGAAAACCAGATGTAACTCTCGGAGCTATCGAAGCACTCCAGCATTTAAATGTGAATACATCTTTGGTATCTCGTTCCATCGCTCGTGGTAGCGTAGCCCGACGTCAAGGAAGTGGACGGAAGAAAACAGCAACATCAGCAGAAATGGTTCGAAAAGTAAAGATCGAAACCCGCCGCGTCGCAGTGGCCAAAGAATGGCTAGTGAGCTGAACAGAACATAACGAAACATTCCATTCGGCAAGTATTGAAAAATGAGCTCGGGGGGTAAAGCCATTGAAATTCCAGAGTTCAAGAACCGCAACAGAAAGAAAATAGACTCAAAAGAGCTAAAGAGTTGTTCGCTTGGCCGAAAGTGGCGAGCTACCGAATTTGGTTTGGTGGTGTCCGATGAGAAAACATTCGTTGTCCTGCCGAACAATGTGAACAAACAAAATGATCGTGTCTACTTGCCAAAGAGGTCAGCTGAAAATGTGCACCTTCGGTTCGGTTGGTCACCAGAACTCAAGCGCTGGCCGGCCATGGTGATGGTGTAGGTCGCCATAACAGCCGATGGTCGCTCTCCGCTCATATTAATCGATCAGAATCAATGCCGAATATTATCGCAAAAAAATATTCTGGAGGGTGTATTAAAGCCTTGGACACGCAAAACATTTTGGCCGCAGACCTTGAACATTTAAAACAGGATGCAGCACCATCGCACTCAGTTCCAGCGCACACCATGTCCACTAAAATCTTCGGCTACCAATCCGTTGGACTATTGTGTCTGAAGTATTTTGGAAAACAAGGTTGGCACTAAAAAATACCTCAGACAAGCGCTTCGCCGGGAATGGGTCAAAATACCGCAGAGCAACATTTGGCGGCAGCGTGTGACGGTTTCATTGGCCTTTTGAAGGCCATAATTCGTGCCAAAGATGACCAATTCGAACAAATCTAAACTTATTCTAAAATTTGATACTATTTCCGACATGTTTTGCTTTCATTCAATAAAATTTTAAAAAAATCTAAAAATTATGGCGTTTGACGTTGTTGCAGATTTTTTTCATCTCACCCTGTATGCATTGTGGTTTAGGATATCAAAAAGTTAGGGTCGCCTGATTTTTTTTTTTTTAATTATTCTCCATCATATCATTCGTGCTGGTGTTGCTATTTTAATCGAAAACCTGTTTCGTTGTAGTTATTGTTGTTTTTTTTGTTGTTGTTGTATTTTTATGAGTCATAGTTTTGTTGGCATATTTCGAAATACATGAAATATTTGATTTGTCTTAGAGACTATTTTTATTAAATATTTTTTGCAGGGGTGTAGATCCAACCTAAAAAAATAGAAAGTGGGAGCTAAAGCAGCCTTCAAACCTCTGGGTGCAATTTTTTTACATCAAGAGAATTTGTGCAAATTTTTAAAAATTTTTTGAGGGAATTTTTCTTCCCAGTCCCTTTTTTTTGAAAAAAGTGATGAGCTACGCCCCTGGCGATGATGCAAATTTGCCATAAAATAAACTAATGCAAAATTGTTATTAATTTGAATATCGCGATTTTCCCAACATGGCATCATGAAAATGATCTCACAATGGCTGCAAATAACTCCAACCCCCCTTCCCCCTCTCAAATCAAATTTTCATAATTTTTGGAATTTATTGGCATGACTTTTGGTACTCCACCTGCCTCTTCACAGGAAAAAAGAGGGTCAAAAATCTCATCCAGCAAATTTATTACCTCCCTTTTAATAAATCGCTCACACGAGCAACTAATTTTGGGAGTACTCCCAAAAAAGCCCTCCTCCTCCATTTGCCGGTCTATATGGTTCATTCATCCATGTTCTGGTATTTGTTGTTGTTGTTGCTCTCTTTTTTTGGTTGGCTGTGAACAACCTTGACATTGGTGTTTACTAAAAAATTTAAGTTATTTCGTATTTCAATTTCCAACTGGAGAGTTGGAAAAAAAGTGAATGAACACCAAACGCTGCTGACTTTGAAGATGATGACGATGGCGGTGGTGGTGGTGGTGGTGTTGGTTGTACTAGGAACTCAGCCAAGCATGAAGTGCTCATCGCTGTTTTTTCTGCCTTATTTTTTTGTTGGCTCATAAAAAATTAAGAGCCTCTAAGTGAAGAAGTGTCAGCTAAGCATAAAGGAAACTAACACCATATTATTATTTAATAAAGAAAAACGACTTCAAAGCATTTCAAAGTGGAACGAGGAAGGGGGGGGGGGGGTGCAGGGAAGGGCAACGTAACATTCCTCAAAAAAGAAAAAAAAAACACACGTTTTAATTTCAAAGCAAAGCTTGTGAATTTGTTGCCTCTTTCCCAGCTCTGTTTTTTGTTAGTCTTCAACTTTTCTCGCATAAATCGTAAAGCCACAGCCCAGAAGAGATTAGATTGTAATCTTTACCGCAGCAGTTGGTCTAATTTAAATTCTATTTGGCTGTTGTTTTTTCGTGCAACTTCTTGAGGAAATTTTCCCTCGTAAAATTGTTCTACAAGCTAATGAGCTTTAATGGCTTGTTTACGGTGGGTAATGGGAAGAATAAAGTAATTAATAAAAAAGAAAAAATATATCGTCAAATGGTGTTTTACAGAAAGATTCTCAAATGATTTTTAAAGGTGACCAAATAAAAATATTTTTTTTAATATTTTTAAAGAAAACATTTTTTTTGAATATTTTTAAAAACAATTTTTTGAAGGTATCAAAAAGTAGATTTTTTCATTTATTCTTATCAATCATCAAATTGTAATCTTTCTACAAAAACCCACAAAATATTAATTTCATTTCTTCAAAAAAACTGTTTCAGACGAACCACAAATCGTGTTTTTTTTTTTGGAAAATATTTTTGTTTTTGAGTCTCCTAGAAAAATTTGATTTTTAAAATATTTTTTCAAACTCTTAACAAAATGTTGATGTTTTAGTTTATTTTTTTTAATACATCCATAAAAAAATTTTTGGAAAATATATTTTGAAGTTTCCATCAAACTTGTTTCAGACGAACCGCAAATCGTGGGTTTTTTTGCAAAAT